CTTTGAGGGTGATTAGGTTTCCAACGCTCCACGTATGCCAGTTTTTATTCCCCGGCCAAAGGTCGGATACTTTTCTCACAGGCCTCGTATATGAAAGAAGCTAATTATAATTGAAATACAAAAACCAAAAAAATAAGAAACAAGATGTTCTTGCAAATATTATTAAAGATCACATGGTGTAGTAGTACTAAAAAAAAAAGAAGCAAAGTACAGATTATACATTTTAACAGTGTGATATCAGTCAATCATGGTGTCCTCTGTGATTTTGAGGATCAACAACTACAATTCTACATAGTTTTCTATTTGCCATTGTCTCCACCAGCTTTCCAAGTTTAAGCTTCACACCTCCAATCTATATTCTAATGACATCAAGCCAGGTGAGTCTCTGCCTACCTCTTACTTTTCTTCTTTCAATCTTACCCATCAAAATCTCTGCCAACCTTCCTTCACATCTGATTATATACCCAAGGTAAGATCATCCATTTTCTATGTATATCCAACAGATGACCTTTTGTCTTTACACAATCCTCCTTATTAGTTTTTTCCTATTTGATCTTCTTCACTTGTTTGTAATACTAAATTCCAAATGCTTCCAATTTTCATTTTGTTTAAACAGACAAGACCCATAAATTTTTGAAACAGCTTGAATAGGTAATAAACAAAAATTTATTATAAATGTAAAACATTTTGACAAGATTGTCATAATCAAGATCCATGTTTCCACCCTGTATGATGAAATGTTGTTATTTATTAAATTTTGCAAAAAGCTACTGAGGGCTATTTTTACTAGATAGACTAAAGGGAGGGCAGCTAGTCATCACCACCCACTGTCAACTCCTGGGCTACTCTAATCAAATAGAGGAAGCTGATTATCACTCTTACAATGTACCAAAGACCCCAAAGTACAACTAATTAACTATATTTTCTTATGCTCTTACTTATAAACATTAGAATCCACCATTTCAACAGTTGGATACCTTCAAAGTTAACATTTTTCTAGTGTGAAAATGCATTTCTGATAGATACTCACCTCCTCACACAGATTAGCTAACTTCCTTGTGTGTCTGCCTAAGAGATTTGTATGCTGTTAGCCTTGAGGTGACTCCCACCTAATTTCAAGTATTTTAACATGAATTGCACTAGTGCATGATGATGTTATCATGCAACAAAAGCCCACCACCAATAAAAGGGTGACACAACCTCCAAGCACACTAACTCCCCCTATGCACTTGCACTTATGATAATTTCACTCTTTGACAAGGCAAAAGGGTGAATTATAAGTGAAGAAATATAGGAAACTAAGGCTGACAAGAAGTAACACATATCAACCCAAGAGAGAAGACAAAAGGGGGAATGGACATATAGAAAGAGGGAAGAACAGACCTGGCTGAGAAAATCGATTGCCAGAATCAAAGGATGAAGAACAGTGGACCAAAAGAGAGGAAACCCTGGGTAGAGAAAGGTGGCAAATGCATCCATGCTCAGAGGTGTATGTCCAATGCTCAAAGGCAAAGAGTGCCTCTCAGACAATAGATGCAAGAAATGAGCATGACTGAGTGGAAAATGACCAAGTGATCCTCAAATATGGGCAGGAATGGGAATATACCCAACAAACAGCAAGAAAGTCAAGCACATTGATGTGGAGTGAATGCCTGTCTAGTGTCCAAAAGCCAGAAGTCCCATTCTCATCCAGAGATGTACATCAATCAGAGAAAGATCCAGTTTGAGAGGTAGTAGAGAGGTTTGGAAGTAGTGTGGGCACAGTTAGTCACCACAACAATTCCTCAAGAAGAGATTCATAAATGAAGACAATGGAACCCAAGAAAGAAACTCTTGTCAGGTCCACTGTAGGAGGCACATGTGCAAGCCCTAAAGAAATGGGAAGTTTTAAGGAAACCAGAGTCCCCAGAAGTGCAAGAACCTCTCATACAAGAAGATAATGAGAGGCAGATAACCTGGTGACCAGATACACCATAGTTTGCAGGGAAAGAGTAGAAGGCTGAACTTGACTGAGACAATAAATGAAGAAAATGCCCAGAAGTACCAACTATTGAGTGGGTGTGTGAAAAAGGACTTAGATCTTAGATAAGTTTCTTCCCAACCAAGTAGCCTCCTGTAAAAGAAGGGAGATGAGAAAAGAGGAAACCATCCAAAAATGGGTCAACAGAAGTCAATCCTACAAGAAATGGAACACCAGCCCCAGGTTGTGAATATGGCAAGTGAAGGCTTTCATGATATCAGTGCATATCAAAGGGTCTAACATTAAGTTAAAGGGAAGAGCAAGAAACTGAAAAATACAAAAATGATGGACAGAACATAAAATAGAAATAGAGGATGGGTCAAGAGTGATGTATAGGAAGATGTTTGACACATTGACCATGGCCAAGATCAGACAAGGTGAAAAAGACATAGATGGGGTTGGAGGGAGGAGAAAAGGAGATGGGAAGAGAAGCAAGGAAAGAAACCAAGGTGGAGAAATGATAAACAACTGTTGGCAGAAAATGAGACCAACAACTTGAGTGTGTGTGTGTTTTTTTATAGCAAAGCCACATTGGGCTATCTGTGGTGTCCAGTGAGGGGAATCAAACCCCTGATTCTAGTGTTGTAAATCCAAAGACTTACCACTGTCCCACCAGAGGACCCGAAAGCTTGAGAAGAGATGGATATCCAAAGGATTGTACGTGTTTGATAGTCACTGACAAGACGAGCAATGAAGTAAACTTCTGGTAAAAGAAGCGCAAGAAAAAGAGGAAGGCCTAGAACCTAGCATAGGAAGGTTAGGAGTAAACTGATCTTGATGAGGAACAGAAGTAAAGAGCAAGGTAGAGAAAGAAGAAAAACCTGGGAATATAACATGGACAAAAACCATATAACATCAGTCCAGGTCACCAGGGAAAAATACCATGGAATACATCTGGGTAAAGAAAGGGAGCCTGACAAATATCATGTACACAAGGAGGAGGACAGAGTACAGTACAGGGGAATGCAACTTGACCCAAGGAGTCCCAACAGCATGGTTAAAAAGTATGAATGGATAGAGCAGAATAAGTGGAATAAGCTTAGCTGACAAAAATTAGTGTGTTTGGTTTGTTTTGAATTTCATGCAATCTTACATGAGGGCTGTGTAGTGATAGACTAGAGGGAAAGCAGCTAGTCAACATCACCCACCACCAACTCTTGGGCTACTCTTTTACCAACAAATACCAGAATTGACCAGAACATTATAATGCCCTCATGGTTGAAATGGCAAGCATGTTCAGAGATGGTGATTCAAACCCTCAGATAGCAAGTTAAGCACCTTAACCATCAGGTCATGCCAGGCCTAGCAAAGAGAAGGAAATGAACCTCTACAAAAAGTCCATCTGAAGTACAATAAAGTGCCTCAGATAAAAGGTGGAGTTAGACGAAAGAATATGGGATGGTAGCAAGAAAAAGATAAAAATGGGGAACTAGAAAGTGAAATATAAGGTAAGGGCTCCCATCCCAAAGATGGCAAAATAGATACCAAGGACAGAGAACTGAGAAAAGGAAAGGAAGATAGCCTACAAGTCAGGATATAAAAGAATCATGAACACAAGAGGGGATGATGCATTTGGGTGTGAGAGAGGAGCTATAAG